TGGTCGCCCACCTTGCATCCAACAAAGTCCAGCACAGAATAACCAATGTAGCACTTAGGTAGTCTGATGGTCAGACCTGCTACCCTCACTTACCTGAACATTTCTCTGAGTTTCTTCAGGTTGTTTTCCCATCTAGCTGTGTGGGTCAGAATGTCATCTACATAATGCTCAATGTTGGTGGTTTTGTGCAACATCTTCCTCATCATGCAGTTGAATATCACTGCCGAGTTGACTAACTCATATGGCATCTTCTGGTAGCATCTATCTGGTGTCATAAAAGCTGTCTTCTCTTTAGGTTACGTCTCCATCAGGATTTGCCACTAACCTTTACTGAGGTCGATCTTGATAGAGAACATGGCCACGTCTAGTTTTACTATGCTAGCATATGGGTTTCCCATAGGTTTAGAGTTGAACTTTGTTATGAGGTTCAGCTTCTGGAAATCTATGCAGAAGCTGTTTTTAGCTGTCCCTCTTCTTCACAATTACCACTTGTGAACAGTAGGCTGAATTCGAAGATTAAAGGATTCTGGCTTCTAACATTATCTCAACCTCTTGCTTCATCAAGTCTATCATTGCATAGGGCATCTGGTAGAGCTTCACCTTTACTGAATCCCTCGTCATGGTCTCACTCTTATGTAGCACAAGGTCTGTTTTGTCTGGTCTATCTGTGAAGACATCTTCATACTGGCACAGTAGATCTTGTAGCTCATTCTTCTTTTTGGCAGTCAGTTCTTCACTGATGTTGATGAACATTTCATCTCCACTCAGTGGTCTTAGGTCTAGTAGGTCTTCATCTTCTATGGCAAAGTCACCATCTTCTGGATCTGCATCTATAAGAACCACATCTGCAATGTCCATCTGTGCCTCAATAGCTACACTCAAGTACCTCTTTAATAAATTGGCATGGTAGATCTTGGCCTTCCTGTCAACTTTCACCATCTTCTGAATCTGCATCTATAAGAGCCACATCTGCAGTGTCCATCTGTGCCTCAATAGCTACACTCAAGTACCTCTTTAATAAATTGGCATGGTAGATCTTGGCCTTCCTGTCAACTTTCACTTTATGGTACATTCTGTTGACCACTTCCTGCTCTTCAAAAGGTCCTTTCCACTGCAGAGTAAATTTGTTGTTGTTTGTGGGTAGCAGAACTAAGACCTTTTATCTGACCTTGAAACGTTGATCCTTGGCCTTCTTGTCATAGAAGTGCTTGTGACTGCCTTGAGCTGCATACAAACTCTCTTGAGAGAATTTACAGGTATCCTCCAGTCAGTTTATGAGGTCTAACAGGTACTGGTAGGTGTTCCTCACTCATGACTCTTCTCCTGTCTACAGTTATTTCAGTATCTGCATTGGACCTTGTATTGTTCTTTCATCAGGGGGGGGGCATTCTGTACTTGCTTGTGGGACTTCTCAGTAAGCAAATAATACTGCTTGCAGGTACCTGTCCCAGCCATGTGATCTCTCCTGGCACATCTTATTCAGCATGCTCTTTAAGACTTCATTAACTTTCACACAAAGTCCATTACATCTGTGGTTGTCTGAAGTGGTAAAGAGCTGCCTAGTGCTGATGAGTCTGCTCACCTCTTGCATCAGTTTTGAGGTAATTCAGGTCCTTTTGTCAATCAAGACTTCTTTTGGAAAGCCTACTCTGCAGAACACTTCTAAGAGGGCTTCTGCTACTCTCTCCATCTCTATCTTTAGCACTACTATGGCTTCTGGGTAACGTGTCGCATAGTTGACTACTGTCAGCATGTACTGGTTGCCCTTGTCAGATACAAGTGCTAGTGGTCCAATGAAGTCCACAAGTATTGTCTATTGACAGATATCACATGACCTGCAAAATCTGGTCACATCTCTGATGACCCCAGGCCAGTGGAAGCTGCTGATGATTCTGTCTGCCATATTCTTCGCTTTTAGGTTTCCTCCCACAATTGACTCTTGAGACAATTTCATCACTTGAATATGGTATTCTGTTGGTACAATGATCCGTTTAACTTCCCCAGTAGAACTGCTTTGATAAACCCAGTACAGCTATCCCTTCTGGTTTCCTGTTCTATAATTCCCTTTCCCCTTTGTCTTTTGCTCAGTTTTTTACCTGGGGACTATCTCAAAATATTTGCAGTGAAGATTCTTTCTTCTGTGCGTCTTTCAGTTTGTGTAGACCTACATTGGCATGTCACCTTTTGAGACTTACAAGGGCTTGATACCCTCCTTGCTTTTCTTTTCTTGAGCTCTTGTGGTGACTGCAGATGCCTCATCAGTTTCTGTTCTGTCTGGTTTCTCCAAACTTTTACTGCTGGCTATATTGCCAAGTCATAGATGGGTGCCTTCATACACATGGCCTCAAGGTCTCCCATGTAGTATGGAGTGTCTATCTTTATTTGTGCTATGGGAAACTTTCTCACTGCCCCATCAATCAACACACACAGATGTACCTTGCCCATCATCAGATGCTAGACTGTTTCTCACTGCTGCACCAAGTGTCTTGTAGGACTTTCACTTTCTTGTTGTGGTTTTGGCACCTCTCGATGTTCCAATCACCACTGGCACTGTTGACCTGTCTGCTTACTTGAGCTGACTATCAATCATGCACTGTTTAATCATGATGATACCACTTTCTTCTTATGGTGAATCTGATAAGTAGTCTCTTTTCTTTTTCTTCTGACAGCAGCATCCATGGTGACAGTCACTGTTTTATTGTTTTTTGCCAGCACCATCTTTGTGGTTAGCTCCAGCTACTTTATGTTGAGATTTCTGCAGTCTTGTTGGTGACAGACTTGCACTCACTTGTAATGTGCCTCATTTTATAACAAGTATAGCGTCTCTTATCTTTTTTGTCTGTTAACCTCTTGTCACCTTTGATGGCATCCAGCTTCTGGTTAGCCACCCCTGGTTTTGACTTTAACTGATTATTCTTGGAATACCAGTTATACTCCCTCCATGAGCTTCCATATAATATTGTGCCAGCTTGATCATCTCGTCCACGTCCTTTGACCTCTCTCTTTTTTAGGAACAGTGACATGTCTCTGGAACACGTGATCCTAAAGTGTTCAAATATTAGCAGATATGCCAGTCTTGCAAAACTAACTTCACACTTGGCGATGCCACTCCACCTTGTGAAGTATCGTGGTAGATGTATCACAAACTGAAATATAGTTTCTCCAGTGTCAGGTTTGAACTTCCAGCAAAAACCTTTCTTGTTAAGTTCATCATGTAGGGCTGAGGCAGACTGCCCAGTCACCTTTGTCCCAGCATCCATGTTGCCTTTCTGTTTATTATCTTTGGGCAGGTTGCATTGTCTGGCCTTGACCCCATTGTTATTCTTGGGTCCTCCATCTTTTTATTGGGTGAGCTTGGCAATCTCAATTTCTCCTTTTATTTTCTCTTTCCAATCTGTCATCTTTCTCCTTTACTTCTTTCCCAATTTGTGCTCTTATTATCTCTATTTCCTATCTCTTCTTTCTCTTCTCTTCATTTTTCTCTTCTTGGGCTCTTATTTTTTCTATTTCCAATCTCTCTTTAGGTATTGTTGGTGTTTAACAAACTCTCATAAGATTGCTATTTTTGAGCCCAAGTCGCTCGCCCCTCTCTACTCACTTATCAAAGTCAGTTGATATGGTTTTATTATGTGGTTGTGACCTATGCAATATTTTCATCACCACTTCAGCTGTACATATGTAGGCTTATTTGATGGTTGTTTATGTCTACTTCTACCACCATTTGCCACTCTAGATCCTGACTGGCTCATCAGCTGTCAGGTTTGAGGTATAGAGCTAGATTATTTACACCCGGTTTTTGTGATTTGTTGACAATAAATTTCAACAATAAACAAACAGCATGCAGTCCAATTGCTTTGAAATAATATATTAAAACAAGCTAAATATATATAGAAATGTTGTTCAGACATTTTTAGCCGTGCTACTGTAATTAGATTGTTGAACTTACACTGTTTGTGGATGGGACTTCTAGCAATAGACTTGGTATATTCCTAATTTTTTCAGACATTTGAGCTCCTGCATCATTGGAGAACTGTTTAATTAATTTGATCTGTTCTTGAAATTGAAGAAATGTTTTAACTTGACATCAATTCTAAATACATTTCTGAAGTTAAAAGTTCCAACATGTTTAGCATTGCAAATAATTAACTGTTTTTCTGTGATGTGGTACCAATATCTCACTTCAGCATAATTCTACAAGCTTGTGATGACTTTCAGCTTTGTGTCTGTAGCACCTTTCACTTTATTCCTTAAAAGAAAAAAAAATGTTGCTCTTCTATTCAACTTGATATTTATTATAATAAAATTCAGTTTTTGTCTGCCCTGAAAATGTGTGCACAACTTACTATCTAAATGTGCTTGTGTGTGCACTTCATTTCAACAGATGTGAATATACTTTAATTAATAGACATTTTGTACAACAACATGTTAAAAGCTTTTCAAAATTTTTAGAAAGGTCTAACATTTGGTTGTAAAATAATGTTAAGTTTACTTATTGATAGTATTAAGTATGGTAAAGTTTAGCCGAAACTAAAATAAAGCAAAAAATGTACAGAAGTTTCAGTATTAATTTATCTCTTCATTAAATATAGACTGTACTTAATAAAAGGCTCAAGTAATGTTAGGCCTAAGTCGAGTGGACTTGCAGATTTTGATGTCTGTGATTATAATACTTTTGTATTGTTCTAGAAACCCTGTATTTAAAAAAAGTATTGTTGCAATAAAGATGTTTTGTGGATTTCTGCTACTTATGAATGAATTTATGCATTAACTAGCTCAAAAGTGTGGGATGAGAGTAAGAGTATTAGATCAAAGATGCTGTACTCTGAGCTTCAATATTTTTGATTATTTGAACTTTTTATGTTTTATGAACTAGAATTCTCTTTAGCTACTGATTAAAATATGACCCCCAACCAGCTATATTACTCCTTGACATTGTAGGTGTTAACTATGAGAAACAACTAATAAAATCTTACAATCTCAAGAAATGTGGAAAATTACAGTGCTATGGTCTGGATTTGCAGCTAATCAAGGAATTTCCAATGATGAATGTGTTTAGTATTCAAGAAAATCTGATTGAGGCTTTATTGGAGATGCAAGCTTATGCTGATGTGCAAGCAGTGCTCGCTAAATATGATGGTAAGTCTTCTCAGTGAATTCCAGCCAAATTTTAAATACTACCAATAGATTTTTTTTTCCTGTTCATTTGAATTCAATTATTGAACATATTTTTCTTCGTTTTAATGCCACTATTTGTAGGATCAATATGTGACCAAATTCTAAATAATACGTGTAGCTCAAAGTTTGGGTAAAAAAACTTATCATTAACCTAGCAATCATGCTAGGAATGGAAGTTTTAACAATACATAATGTGTGCACCAATTCATTTGTTGTCTGTGTGCTATAATCAAGACACACTGTGATGCATCATGCAGCCAAAACAACCTGCAGGACACACTGTGTGTTATTAACAGGAGTGATAGTTTAGCAATTTTCCACTCTGTAGCTTGGACTGTGGGAATCCAAGCTATCACATATTTTCAGTGGATGTGCTGTACTGGACCATTACTTCACATACCAAATTTCAAGGCAATCCATTAAGAAATACACAAAATATAAAATCTCCATTTTGGATTGAATTTCTTCCCTTTTTTCTCTTCGCACCGAAAGTATGGAAACTTTATTAGATAGAAATAACTTAATTTTCATGGACTTTTTTCAAATTTGGTACACTGATAGATATTTACAACTTACAATTAGGAGTCAAACTTGTGCAAAGTTATTCAACAAAAAGCACACAATTTTGAACAAAATTTTTGCACATGCCTATGCAATAAAGCATGAGCTATCAGTCTGAAATTTTTAATACAGCTTCACCTAAGAGTAAACATGGACCGTTTTTTGTCCTTTTGATTAAAGATGGTTTATTTACAGCAGCAAAACTATAGGGTGAAAGCACGTGAAGATGGTGGATGGGTGGATGGTTATTATTCATTGCCAACTTTTAAGCACAAATTTACTAAGTTTTATGAAATTCTTCTAATTAAAAAGCATTTAGCATCACGTGATATTAGTATAAATAATAATTCTTGTTGATACAGCTGTACTGAGTACATGCGGATGATGACAAGAAACTGTTAATCTTGTTTCCATGGCATTACTATAAAAGGAGTTATTAACACTGCTTTAGAGAGGAAAAATTACCACCATATATTTTAAAGAATCTGGCTGGTTCTGTAAAGTATCACATTGTGGACGGGTTACAAGTTTACTCGTGTTTCATGCAGAGCATCTTTGTGTGCCATTTATTAAAGTGTTGAGTTTGAAAGGAGTTTTATTTTGTTCATAACTTAACTATATTTCTTATTATTTATTTGAAACTTACAGAGTCTGTTCATGAAGATACCTAGTAAATATTTAAAGTGTGGTATCTTGTAAAACATTTTCCCATATAGAGTGGAACTGCACAAACCATGCATATGTATCGTGTTTCACTTCTTTTTCCATGGGCAGTACAAACTTTGCAGGCTCTGGTAGGAAATTTATTTTTTCTTGTAGATGAAATGAACACAGGAATATGTTACTTCATATCACCAGACAGTCTTCCTGGGGGATCCTTATGTGGGGCTTTCCTTGTACCTTCAGATGATTGACTAGGTTTGTTCCTCTCTAGTTCCAGTGAGCCTTCTTTTTTTTTGTCAGTAATCCTTTCTCTTGCCACAGAGAGGAAGAACTGCTTATATTTTATTTTTTTCTGTTGATTCGGGGCTTTGTAGATCATATATGAATTGAAAAGGTCATAATTTATTAGATAAAGTACTACCTTTTTTGTCCATTTCACTGTTTTTCTGAGAATGGTGTAGTATGAGAGGTACTGCTTTGCACGTTAAACACCTTTCATATGGGCATTGTATTGGAGAACACACACAGGTTGAGTCATGGATGGTTGAAACCATTCTCACTTCTCTCTTGTCTTTCCTTATAATAAAGAGAACATCATCTTTTCTACAGAAAGCTGTTTCACCTTTTTTCATTGTTGAAACTTCAGGCTTGGCGGCAACCCTCTGTTCATTCTTATTGTTCTGCAGACTCTTGTTTTATGTTCTAGAAACAGGTTTGCAGTGGAAGTACTGTTGTAATAATTGTCCTGGTATATGTGGTGCCACAATCCAAGATTGGGAGCAAGAACTGAAAGAATATTCTCCTCCAATTTTTTCCCCTCACCAGTATAAATCTCCATGTTGCAAATATAACCTGCATCACTCTCACACACCATTCTCACCAACAAGTCATATTTTACTATTTTTGCAGGGTTGTATGTTCGGAATCTTAGACATCCTCTCCATGGAATCATGCCCTCATCCAATGACAACTGTTGCTTTGGTTTGTATAGTGTCCTGAATTTATAGAGGAAATAATCCAGAAATGGTTGAATTTTGAAGAGCCTACCTGAAGACTCATCCATTTTTTGATTATCATTGAAATGTCAAAATGCTAAACTATGTTCAAATCTGTTTCGACTCATTGTCTGTGAAAATATTGGGCTAATCAAAAGAGGATATGTTGACCAATAATCTTTCCAGTCATATTTCCTTGTCTGTCCCATTAGTAGAATAAGGCCTTGAGATTTCCTTATGACTGGATGTGTAACTTCAGACCATTGAAATCCTTTAGATGACATTTCATCTTTCTCTGCAGTTTGATTAAGGTAGATACACATTTCTTGACAAAACATTTCAAACAAATTATCAACAAACATTAGACTTGTCACAGCAGCAATACTTTCGGGTTCAGACGGAGTTATAGTGACTCCTGAATTCCCTTCAAACATTTCCAAATTCGGTGGAATATCTATTTCTGACCAGTTATCATTATCACAATGGGAAAACAAATCACTAATAGGAACATTTGTAGAATCATCATTACTTTCTGATTCAGAATCATTTGAGAGCACAACATCTTTACGTATCTTTGTAGGTCTAACAAAGTCACTGTAGCTAAAATCATTGTCAGAATGATCCACAAACACATCCACATCAGAATCTTTACCTTCACTTGGAAGATCTGACAAATTACCATTAAATAGATCAGGAATTATCGCATCTTCACTCAATACATTACGTTTTCTGCGAGAAGCCATTTATAAAAATATGGGTATTGTAAGCAAAAATCAGAAAATTAATAACTGTCCGAAACAAAATAAAATGCGTCCAACTCCTTTCGATTGCAACATTTTAATAAAATGGCACACAAGGGTGCTCTGCACAAAACATAAGTAAACTCGTGACCCATCTGCAATGTGGTATAGGTCTGTTCCGAATAATAGGGTTGTTATCCTAAAGCTAATGTTGGTTACTATCAACTGTCACTTTCTCACTTGCTCTGGTTTGTTGTTGAGTGTTGACAAAAAGTTATGATATCTAATCTAAAACATTTTTGGTGTGAAAAAAGGTGCGACTTAAAGGAATGAAATCAAAATTGGCAGCCAAACTGGTAGCTACACTTATAGCATTGAAAAGAATTTTAGGGCAAATATTCATTCATTAGTTAGCTAGGCCACATATTTTGTTTTATCCACCATCATGCCCCAAGTTGTACAAAGCAATCATTTTTATGGCTGCACCCTTTTTTTTTGCACCTAAGGTGTTTTTTATTAGATTCAAGTGATGTCACCTAACTAGTGCAATACTTCTTGAGAAACTGTGTACAACCCATCTGTAATTCTTGCAATATGTACTTTAAAGCAGTTAACAGGAAGAAGACATGACTTCTTGTAATCTGAAATCAAAATCAATTTTTAATTTTTAATCCTAATTTTTCTCACAATTATTTTATTTCCCGAAGTAAAATTATTTGGAAGCTAGTAAGTACAGTTTACTAATAAAGAATCTAACCAGTTCTAAAAAGACTAATTTAGACTTTGTAATTATGTTTTTGTTTTTCTTAACTTTAGGCTTTATTTCTTCCTATGTTAGCCACCCCACCCACACTCCCCATGGCTCAATCATAAGTCTGAAGAATTATAATGTTAAAAATTAGGTTTCGAGGCCAATGCTTGGCACAGCACATACAGCCCGTTGTGTAGCTTTGTTCTTAAAAATAAACAAACAAAACTATCTGAGGTTAATAAAGTATGCTATTTTGCCCCCTTGTGTAACTAGTTGTATGGTTATGGACTTACAGTGCTAATTAAGAAAATAGCAAACAACCTGTGTGAGCATAATTTTCTCTTTACTACATGTAGCACAAAGTCTGTTAAAGACAGATGTGACATTTGTTGGATTGAAGAATATTTAAGTACATTTTTGAAAAGGTTTAATTCTCTGTAGCTTGACATGACATTCAGCTACACTAATGGGCTTAACAAGCCTCAAAGTTAGAAGTATTGCTTCATTATAGTGACAGATATTAATTCAGTGAATTTTTTCGAAATTTAAAATTATATTGAAAAAGAGGGATGTGACTAAATGTTGAACTTGTTACACTAAAAAGATTTGATACTTTGGGCAGAATCAACTGATGAACAAAGACTAAGAAAGTAAAGATCAAACAAAGCAAGTTTGGCTACATCTTAGGAAGTTAGCCAAGAAAATAGCTAAAATACGATAGAAGTAAATATCTATTTAAATGTCATTTTAAAGTGGAAACGTTAGTTTTCAGTGGAAAAATTTAACTTGGTCAATTTTTTTTTTTTTTTTTTTTTTTTACATTTCTTGTTTATAGT